AAAAATTAGCCGGGCATGGTGGCGCATGCCTGTAGTCCCAGCTACTCGGGAGGCCGAGGCAGGAGGATCACTCCAGCCCAGGAGTTGGAGGTTGCTGTGAACTAGGCTGATGCCAAGGCACTCTAGCCCAGGCGACAGAGCAAGACTCTGTCTCAAAAAAAAAAGTATTCGTATTGCTACTGTTATTACTATGTATTGTTTGAAATATCTATTTTAAGTAGACACTATATTATTAAAAGGCGTAGCCAGCATATATCACAAATTGCTTTGCATATGTTTATCTTGTTCCTTTAACTGGGAAACAAGCTAGCTCCTGGGAAGGCAAAGACAATGCTGTCTTTCTGCTACTTTCCGTCCTTCCCCTCCCACCAACTCCTCTGCCTGCAGCACTGGGCAGAGTTATGACATAGTGACCTGCATGCCCGTAAAGTCGATTAACTAGAAAGCAGGGTCTAGAATATGAATGATTCATGTTTTCAAAATAAGAATAAAAATAAAGTTCTTAGTAGAAATGGCCTTGTTTGAGTTAAAAAAAAAACCTTTGACATGAAGGCAAACAGCCCGGGAATAGGCATTATTCAAGCATTACAGTCCCAGAAATTTGCAGTTGAGTCAGACAATCATGGGTCACAGAAGACCTTTGGTTCTTGGAGCTGGGAATCATCTTACAAGGCTATAAACACATGAAGTCTGAACCTATCACCTAGTGATTTAAAGGATTTCAGAACACATAAATCAAACCCTGCTGTGAAACAATGCTGGCCCTTTGGCCTGAATCTCACTAACTTGACAGCGAGTGGCTCTAGATCAGAACCCAGTCTACTTACTCAGCTCTTCCATGTTAACCCCTTTGGGGACCATCTGCAGCAGAATGGCAGCGGTCTCCTTGATGAGTGGGAAGGCAGATGACAAAATGATGATGACCATGATGACAGTCAGGCTGGGGTCAATGTAGCACTGCCAGTTACACGGGTCCTCAGTTTTCAGAGGAAGCACATAGAATATGACGGCCGTGATGACCACAACCACGGACCCCAGGGCATCTCCCATCACATGCAAAAGTACACCTGCCAGGAAGAAAGAAAGACTGCTACAGCATGGAGCCAACTTTGGAAGCCATGTGACACTCAAGGACTTGGATTTCTAAGTATATGAATACCTGTTGCTATTTGGGTTTTTTTGTTTGTTTTGTTTGGGGGGGGTTCTGTTTTGTTTTGTTTCATTTTTTTTTTTTTTTCGGTTAGAACAGCAGAAGGGATCAGAATTAAAAGAAAAAATGGTAAGTGCTTCTCAGAAAATAAAACTCCAGGCCACCATCTCAGGACTCAGAGATCCTGGGAAGAGAAACAGCTGAGGAAGATTCTGAGCTGCAGTCACCTGCAGGAAGAGCGACTATGTCAACTCTTAATGCTACATCACCACCACCCACCACCCATCAAAGGGCACAAGCCGAAGACAGAGCCCTACAGATGATTTCTCTCTCTCAGACACGTGTCAGTGTTTTAAATTGTTTTAAACATTTGTAAGAGGAGAAGGGACTAAGATATATCAAAAGAGTGGTTCTTTTTATTCTTCGTGTTCTCTCTGCCAGGATCCATCTTCCCTCTTCCCCGCAGGCATTTAGCTACTTCTCAAGCTGTCATTTAAAAGGCATTTGGTTTAAGAGGGCCTCAAGAACAGGGGCTCCTAGCAATGTTTCCACTGCATAAAGAGCCTTTTGTCACAGTAAAACAAAATCAAAATTCTACAGATAATAATAAAAATTGTGGGTACATTTAATTAAGGGAATGGTTTCTAAGGGTATCGATTATGATATAAAAAACCTGCAATCCTCACCAGTTGTTTGTTAGACATGAACAATTAGGAATTTAGGCACATTAATGGTTAGGAATTCAGTACATTGGGTTAAAATATGGTCAGAAGGATTATAAAATATAAACACAAAGCATTTCTTCTTCTTTTTTTTTTTTTTACAGAAAGCAACATCAGAATCTTGCCATTCAAGGTGTGGTTTGCAGACCAGCAGCACCTGGAGGCTTGTTAGAAACGCAGAAGCTCAGGCCCCACCTCAGATCTGTAGAATCTGAATCTGCATTTTAACAAGATGGCGGGGGGGGGGCATCCGATGCACATAAAAGTTTCCAAAGCGCTGCTCTAGAAAAAACTATATATGTTAAGAAAGGTCTGCTTTGTCTCTCCATGTATCCCACAGATTAGTAGAATTAATAATAATCCAAATTACTAACGACTCTCTCATGGCTAAGACTGAACACTCTCATATGGAAGGTGCTTTCATTGGGCTAATTCCTCCTCCTGGCAACACTTCTAGACCTCTGAGTAACATTATAGGTAAAATGGCATTCTGTAAACATACTAAATGGAATTCGTGGCAACTTCCCCCGCCAAAAAATAATACAGATATAAAAAAAATCCTCGTATTTCTTTCTGGCTGGGTGTTTAGTTACGGTAATAGGATCCTGATTCGATATATACATTAAACATTCCCATTTTCTAAGTCTATTCCCTCTTCTCCCCCACCACAACCCCAAAGGAGCTTCTTACTCCCCTGAGCCCCAGAAGGGAAACTCAAAGCTTTCCTAGGGGTTGGTCTACACACCTTGTTCCTCTGAAAGGAACTGAAGATTGATGTAACTTTCTTCAGGGCAGTAAACATGCTGCCATAAAAATATGAAAACCTAGTATTTCCTATACGAACTTGACATCATTTTCACTGCCTGAGACAGTCGTTATTCTCTGATTGTTTCATACGTGTGAGCCTCATTTTCCTCCAGAAGTAACATGAGGGTCCACATCAGACCCCGAATATCCTTTGTTTATATTATAACACTGGAGCCGTGCGATGTAGGCATTCAGGAAAACAGTATTTTCTAGTTGATGAAGTCATAACTCCCACGACAGAGAGTAACTTCTGTCTTTTATTTAATAATAATTGTAATGCCAACTAACATACATGCACCGGGCATTGTTTTAAGCGTGTTACATGTATTTAAACATTAAGTCCTCTTATGGACTCTCTAAGGTGGTTACTCTTGTGAAAATATGTAATTCCGAATCTAAGCTGTTGGAACTCTAAATTATTTTGAGCCTTAAAGGAATGTGATTTAGGGGGCCCAGTCACGTGACAGGCAGCTGTAAGCTCTTGTTTGTCTGAATTAAGTCTTTCCCCTTACCTACATTGCTCTGTAAAATGCTGTAAATGGTGAAGGGCTCCAGGGAAAACCCTTTCCCTCTTACTGTTGACTTTCATTAGAGATTAACCTCCCTGTTATTATTACCTTTCTGCTACAAAGACTTCAGGGCTAACCCAGTGCCCTTTTAAATTGGAAAGAAAATGAAAACCAGCTATAAAGAAAAGAAAACAAGCTGCAAGGAAAAGAAAACAAACTGTAACTAATTCATTGTTTATAACTCATCAACAGCCTTGTATAGAAAATATAATCCTGTTCTATTTCTTTGTCTTCTTCCTATGTAAGTGAGAATTTAGCTTTCAACTCTGGAGCGTTCTCCCTATTTCTCTGGAGTGGTGCGTCCCAGAATGGCCATTTCCAGCTTTTCACGTGAATAAACCCTTTAATACTGGAATCTGACTCTTTTGATTATTTCAGGTTGACACTCTCTTCATTTTACAAATGAGGAAACTGAGGCACAGGGTAGCTAAGTAACTTGTCCAAAATCTGACCAGAGATCTACTGCGCATCTTGCCTCATATAAGTCCCAAATTCCGATTTCAGCTTTTCCTTCTGAGAATTCTACTATGAGCCCCTAAGAATTAGATAAAATAGCAGCTTTCAAACTTGTTTTTCCCATATTCTATAGTAAGAATTAAGTTTTGCATCCTAGCACACACAGAGACACAAATTAAAACAAATAGTTCATGAGAAAGCAAAAATTGCCCTTACATACAATTTATTACTATTTTGTATTCTATTTAATTAATTTTCTAAATGGGATCATACTCTACTACATTGATCCTAGGACTCAAGTTGCCATGACCTTCAGTTTGAAAAATTGTTTAAAGCATGATCCCACTGAATTCTTCAGATTTAATAATAATGCAATGTGTTTTCTAGCCTCCCATTCAAAGTTGAAGAAAGCCATAGTCCACCGGCAGGATTCTGAGATAAGTACCTCAGTAACCTGCTGGGGGAGGAAGAGGGTCTCCTGTGAAGAGAAATCTCAGAAAAACCTTGTTGAGAGGTGGGTAATTTGAGCAGGACTCTGGAGGGGAGACAGACTTCAGCAGGCAGCCACAGGAGGCGTTCCAGACAGCAGACTCACGAGAGGCTCAGATGGAGGACACACCTGCCGGGCAACGTAGGGGGCTGATGCGCTAAATTGGGTGTCACAGACCCTGACACTGTCGCTATGAGCCATGGACCTTATGAACATCAGCCTCTCTGAGGAGTAAGATTCTCATCTGTGAAATGGGGTAATTACAATATCATCTGCCTCACTTCCCTCAGAGGCTAGTTCTGAAGAGTACATGAAACAACATCTGAAAACTCTGCAAGAACTGGCCAGGAGGTGATGATGATAATGGGCATCATTTGCTGAGTGGGTCCTTGTGCTGTTCCAATCCTCACAATAACGCAGTGATGTTGGTACTATCATCTCCACTGTATAGAGGAAGAGACTGAAGCTCAGTCTTTTCTTGCACAAGGTCACCAAGCTAGTAAATGGCAGAAGCAGAACTCAAATCGGATCTGCCTGACTTCTCCTTCTTACCTCACTGGAGCTGTGCATTAAATGTTGGGGGGTGGGGGCAGACGGTAAGGGGTTTGGAGGAGGAGCTAAGGCCGTAAAGGGGTGAAGAGTAGAGCAGAAAGTCTAGAAAGGAGTATTGGGACCGGAGCAGCACGCCCTTGAATGTTGGCCAAATCTAGACCTTATTCCAGATGTAGGAAAGGTTCTAGGCGGACTCTGATGTGATCACATCTGTGATTCAGAAACATAAATCTCGTGGCATTATCAGAGAGACAAAGATCACCACTTAGCAGGCAATTCAATCAGCTAATTAGTGACACTGTTCACAAGGTAGCTTTGCCAAGACAGCAAATCTTTGCCCTTGGTCCTCACTTGCTGTCTTTAGATATAAACAAAACCTCCCCAAACTGGCATATAACATGACTTGGCAATTTGACATAAGTTAAATTCTATGTGTCCCAGCACCTGGAAAAGCCATCGATGCTGTTGAATCTGTTGAAAAACTGGAAATGACACATTCACACCGGACAAATGGTTATGAAGGATGAGATCTTTCTTAGTGGGAAAAAAGCAAGAATTATTAAAAAAACATCTCATCAAAGGGGATTTATTTTCAAGAGATGTCAGGATTGCCATTCGTCTATCTATGTTTATACCAAAATAAAAAGGACTAATTGTCTTTCTGACACATGTCTCCTGTTACATGACTTTTAATGTGTCATGTTTGATCCTATTAAATAAAATCAACCACTACAAAGCACATGGACAAGAATTTTGAAAGGACTGTGCTTTCGTTGTGTTTTGTAGAAGACGGAGTGTGTTTCTTAGAACTCGTTTTTTTATTCCCATTGGAATAAGAGAAACACTAATGAAAATCAAGAAATGATTTCTTTTCACTGGGATCCTCGTCAGGTGTTTCCCCTGTAGATCTGGAAGGGGTTGGGGTGCAGCCCTGCTTTCCAAAGCAATTCCTTAAATGTTAGAAATCTAACCATTCAGCGGACTGTGTATCCTGGAGAAGTAAGCCCTCCCTATCTGGAGTCCAGAGGCAGCGTGTGATAATGGACAGAGCCAGAAATGTGGTGTAGGAGCCCTGCCTCTGCTGCTAGCTGGCATGACTTGGGGAAGCCTCCAAACCCTCTGCATCCTGTTTCCTCATCTGTAAAGTGAAGGGTTGAAGTTCATTTTCCCTAAGGTCTTTCCACCTCTAACATTCTGTGATCCTCCCCTGATTGTGGGTCCAAGATGAGGTCAGGGGGCCTAAGGTGAGAACAGCCTCACACTTAGCCTGAAATATGGGGAGGCTCCTGTTAGCCACAGCACAGGTACTCATCAGAAGCAGCAGGAATGAGCTGAGCTAACCCTTACTGAAGCAGTCTGGGTCAGCAATTCTACTCGATATCTAAATGACAATTGTCTCCACCCAGTACGACTGCTGTGGATCACCAATTGACTCATTCATGAATGGTTCCTGGCACAAAGTACACACGCAATGGTGGGTTTGAAAGTAGGCTGGTTACATGTTCAACTTTGTAACGTAAGAATGAAGGTAATTACAGAACATGCTTTGAGAAGTTAAAGTGCTATGATGGTGAACCCCACCTTAAAAACCCATAATATATATATTTTTTAAACTGAACCTTAAAAAGGAAGGATAAATTAAAGGATGATGATTTTTCATTGCAGATTCTCTCTTTCCAAAAAGATTCACCACCAGGCTCTTCTGAAGAGCAAATTCCACTGTTGCATTTACATTTTTAAAAATTAGTTTATTTAGAAAATTTTAGGAGCTCACACGTTATTATTGTTGTTGTTGTTTTCTGGATTTTCCCTATAGGCTCATTCTGGAAATCACTTTGTAAAACAGACGTGAGACTCTCAAAAATGAAATCTCTCCCAGATTATTAGTTTTTCTTTATATCATTTCCATCTAAGCCCCGCTACAGGCTTTCCCTAAACCACATGAAGGTAAAGGGCTGCTTAATCCTTGTTGAAATTCTCAAAGTCAAGATTGAGGATTAATCCCTTCTGGAATTACTCTGAAGTAAGATCTGTGGCCAAGAAGTTGGAAAGGAGAGATATTGGATACAGTGGTGTCTAGTGAGAAACACATCTCAGAACCCCCTGGGCTGATGTTAGCCCAGCAATTCAGATCTTGAGCAAGAATGCTAGTTAGCTGCCTTCCACAGGCCTCACCAGAAGCCCCACTTTTGGTCAGGAAGTGGAGGTTTTAGTTAGCCAAGAGTCCCTTCACAAAAGCAGATTTCTGGCAGAAGTAACTCAGGTGATAGAGTCATTCGGCAATGCCACACAGGACATAACCTTGGATAGCGCCACACCCATTCATTTCCCATCTTCATCAAAATCACATTCAATTCCAATAGGGTAGAGTGAATGTTAGCCATACCCATAGACGAGTAAAATCAAGTAAAGTAGTAACATGACACTGATATGTGGGGCTCGGGAGCAGATAGCTTTAGCATGGATCTAAGTGGAGCAAAGATAAATCATTAGCAACTAGTTTTTCTCCCTCAATCAATGCAGTGATTAAGCAAGAGATAGGGTCATAGTCTATGCATGCGCCTGGGCTACTTTCAAACCTTTATTGAAAGTCCAACAGAAATGAACAGCACAGTCCACAGTCAACCCTACCTCTGATATTCAGGGCTTCGGACTTTTTCTCCTTTTTCATCATCTCTTCAGGCTCATTCTGGGTGTTCAGGGAATCACCTGCATTCAAAGAAGAAACCTTGTGTTGTGTATAAGTTCTACAAACAAAAAGAACCAATGGACGCAAAATAAAGTTTCGTTATTTAAAATTCCTACTAGCTTATGAGACACCCTGCCCCTGCACACACACAGCCCAGAACAGTACATTTTGGCCTTGAAATAGCCTTGTGATCCACCTTTGGACTTCATTCACACTTCCTTTCAAGTTAAAACAAAAAGGGGGCGAGTGGGAGCCCACCCCCACCCGCAAAACCCGGAACATGCAAGGGGACAGAAGGGGGAGGGGAAAAAGCAAACTAATGAAGCAACTAACGAAGGGGAGGAGGGGCTGGGGGATGCTGTCTGTTGCCCAACAAGGGCTAATTTCCAAGAAAATCAATACTCCCTACACAGAGAATGGGGGAGGGGAAAAGAAGCTGGGGGACCCGAGAATCCAGAAGAAAAAGGAAAGAAAGAAATCGTGGGGAATATGTTAAATCAGCAGAACAGAAGTAAAGCGGAACTGTAAAGGAAAGGGATTGAAAAAAAGAAAAAAGAAAAAAGCAGGGAGAAGCAAAAGAGGGCGTGGGATGAGAAGAAAAGGACCGGGCGGGAGAAGGGAGGGAGGACACAGTGGTCCCAAGGATGCAACCGAAAGGCACCTGCTACGTTTGAGAACACGGTCGCCCCCTTCTCCTGCTGCCTTTCGACCGAAGCCCCCCGGAGGGTCACGGCCGAGTCCCAGCCGGGGGCTGTCGGGGTCGCCGCGTGCCGCCCGTCCTCCGCGCCCTGGAGGCCCCCGAAAGCGCCGCGGGTGCCGCCCTCCGCCAGCTGCTGCTGCTGCTGCTTCAGGCGGCGGCGACGCTGGCAGCGGCCGCAGCAGGCGAACCAGGCGGCGCAGTCCTGGAAGATGAGCAGCCCCACCACGTTGACCGCCAGCCCCAGGGCGCCGACGATGAGCACCAGCTCGGGGTCGTCGATGCGCTCGGGCCGGGCCAGGCGCAGCACGGCCTCCACGAAGATGGTGAAGCAGAGCGCGGTGAGGAAGACGGCGTTGCTGAGCGCGCCCACCACCTCGGCGCGGACGTAGCCGTAGGTGGCCCGGAAGCCCCGGGTGTGGCGCCGGGCGATGTAGCCGGAGGCCAGGCCCACGCACAGCGAGATCAGGTCCGACAGCATGTTGAAGGAGTCGGAGAGCAGCGCGATGGAGTTGCCCAGGTAGCCCGACACCAGCTCGGCCACGAAGAAGGCGACGGTGAGCACGAGCATGAAGAGCAGCCGGCACGTCTTGCCCGAGTAGCGGCCCATCTCCGCAGCCCGGCGCGCCCCGAGCGCAGCGCGGCAGCCGCAACAGGTGGGGGCGCAGCGCGGTGGCCCCAACTCCTCCGAGGCAGGTACCCGCCTCCCGGGCTGCCGGCGGGCCCTTGCCCGGTGCTTTTATAACGCGGAGGCAGAGCGCCCCAAGTCTTGGCGCGTCCAGAGTCTAAAGGAGTGGCTGCGGCGGCGGCCGCATCTGAAGTTGCCTCCCGCGGCGCCTTCCCCCTGCCCCGTGGCCCGACTTGGCAGGCGGCCAGGAGCCGATGTCTCTGTGCGCGACAGAACTGTGCAGAGAGGGGAGCTGCCGAGGGGGCAGGGGGCGTGTCCGGACGTCAGTCCTCGCAGACACCACTCATCCATGCAGAGGGGGATCCACTCAATGAGCCCCGCTCCTCCAGACCCCCGGGGTCGCCAGTGTCCTTCCTGCTGACTCAGTGATAAGGACTTCGACTGCTGTGGGCGTGTTAGCCGTGGCGGACAAGAACGCCTTTGCCTACGTGCCCAGAAGCAGCTTGCGGTGCAGATTCCATATTAGCCCAGCGTACAGCCCGGGAGCACTAACTTGGGCCAGCCCTGCCCTTAAGGGTGCTTCCTGCTTTTCGTTTCGTTACATTTCAGCTCATCCCTCACTCAGCCCCCACCCTCATTCCACTACCACCTATGCTAAAGCTATTTTGTCTTCTCGGCCTCCTCACTGCCGTAGTACGGGGTGTATGGACGTTCCCATCGCCCCCTCATGGCACAGTACCGTCTCCCCGTTCCCTTACGGGAGCTTTAGTCAAGGCCTCAGTCCTCGGTGAAGCTCAGGCAGCCCTCAGGAGGGCACAGGTCACACTGTTGCTAGCATGGCCCTGCCCCACCCTCCACCCCCCGCCAGCACTCTGATCTACTCTGGTAGCCCCAAGTCCCTTGGCCACCAAAGAAGCCAGGGCTGGCATCCTCTGTGTACGTGTCTCATTGTCCATTGGAGAGAACCTTCCACTTGCCTCCATGTGTCCCTGACTGCATGACCTGACACTTTTAGTTCAATGGACTTAGCTACACGAAGATCTAGTCCAAAAAAAGATTCTTCTGTTTAGAACAGGCTCTGTTCCAAGTAAAAGTTATTCAGAAGGGAACTGTCCCCAGGACTCTGGGAGAAGCTGAGGAACGGACCCTTGAAGAAGGGTGTTTGCCGTTGGTCAGTTCGGGAAAGGGTAGGGGGGGAAGTTCACAGGTTTCTTTATTGGTTTGTTTTGTTTTATGCTCCTATCTCATTTCCCAAAGGATTTGAAGGCGAAGCCTGGTAATCTATATTCTCAATCCCCCACCCGCAACCCCTGAACTTTAACCATTCCTGAAAAATACACATCTGTTTTTGGCTTGGAAATGAATAAAAATGTCTCGCTCCAAGAAAAGCCACTGAATCCATTAGCAGACAGTCTAACTTCTAGCCCCATGCATCGTTTCAGCCCTTCAAAACATAACCTTGCCTTTTAATGATCCCCGAGGGTCCTAAACAGTCACACTAATGCATCCTTGATCTGAGAATCCCACCGGATGCGCCTCCAAACTCAGGGACCTTATTAAACCTTCCCACCTCCAGGAAAATATCCCGACACTGAGAACTCGAGGAAATTGATGTCAAATATTCTCTAAAAATTAATCTAAAAATAATAATGTAGAAGTAAAAGGGTATAGACTGACAAAGGTTTTGAAGCTGTGTGGCCTCGGACAGGTTCCTTAATCATCTGGGCCTTTTTCACTACTGTAAAATGGGAACAATAATAGTATAGTGAGGATTAAAAGAGTTAATATGTGTAAAGTATTATACTTATATAACAATATCTGGTACATATTAACAGTAAGCACTCAATAAATGTTAGCTGTTGGCCAGGTGCGGTGGCTCACACCTGTAATCCTAGCACTCCGGAAGGCCGAGGCAGGTGGATCGCTCAAGGTCGGGAGTTTGAGACCAGCCTGAGCAAGAGTGAGACCCCATCTCTACTAAAAATAGAAAAAAATTATCTGGACAACTAAAAATATATAGAGAGAAAAAATTAGCCGGGCATGGTGGTGCATGCCTGTAGTCCCAGCTACTCGGGAGGCTGAGGCAGGAGGATCCCTTGAGCCCAGGAGTTTGAGGTTGCTGTGAGCTAGGCTGAAGCCACGGCACTCTAGCCCGGGCAACAGAGTGAGACTCTGTCTCAAAAATAAATAAATAAATAAATGTTAGCTGTTACTGTTATCATTAGTATTATCTAATAGTGCTACAGCACCTGTGTAATAAATTTACTATGGAGCAACAGGCGACAGGCTCTAACACACAAAAGAGATATACTGGAGTACTGTACCCTCTCCAGGTTCTGGTTTATACTGTCTTCCAGCTGAAACCTCTGAAACATTTAACATGACAGCAAGCAAAGCAGTCAATATAAGTGAGTGAGGCCTTTTGGAACTCATTTGACGGGGCTAACGCATTCCTTGCTAGTTGCATTTCTTTGTCATTTATGGCTGAAGGCAAAACCTGAAATCGGCAGAAATATATCATTTGAGCAGATTGCCTAATCATTCTCCTAACCAAAGGTAGGTAGACTGCCCCAGGAGCGCAGTCAATGGAACTAGAAAACCAGTGGCTGTCACCTTCCTGGGGCCCGGTTCCTGACTTTAAGGAAGGATAAGTGTTGCCAGACAGCGTCAACAAATGCACTACAGAAAAATATTTTAACAAGGACTATACACACACACACACACACACACACACGCACACACACTGTATATATAATCTAAGTTAATTGACAGAAATGCAGTCTGCATTTTAACGTTACAGTAAATTATGAGGTTTCAAGAGCTTTAGTTTAATGAGCTCTTTCTTTACTCAGCCCTGTGTAGAGCAATTCATAGGGATTATCTCATGTCATCCTCACAACAGACCCATACAATAAATACTGTTTTATAGATGAAGAACCTGAAGCCCAGAGATTGTAAGTAGATTGCCCAAAATGACACAATCTATAAATGATAGAGTCAAGATCTAAACTAGGCATCAAACTCTAGAACTTCACGCCCAGAGTACACTAATTTGATTACTTTAACACTTCTTTTGTTCTAAACAAATGAAACGATTTTTTTAAAGTTCACTTTTTATTGGTGCAAAACTTGATGTGTCACAAGTCATAAATCCAGAGATTATGACACTAAAAATTCTTTCTGTACTGATATTTGACCCAGAAATTAACAAACTTTTTTTTTCTTTTTAGAAATTGAAAAAGCATCTCTTTTCATTTTTATTTTGTAGCTCTACTTGACAGAAGATGATGTTCCCTGTTCAGGGAGAGAACAGACATTTTGTCTAAAGCCCCCAATTCTTATTCAAAACAAGAGGTAGCTCTTTTTCCCATAGCAACAGCCTCTAGACCTTAAATACATCATCAAAAGATGGACACTTCTCACTATTAGGCCAGCTCCAAACACACAGAGCATAAAATAATATGATGACTTTACAAAAGGGAATCTCTTCTCCGGTAGCTTAGGAATTTTGTGTCCAAAGTCAGTTCTTCATTGGTGAATTTATATAATATGTACATTTGGAACACTTTGGCTGTACAAAGGTATTTTTGGACCCCAAAAATATGCATTTCACCCTTCAAGTTTTTCAGAACATATTAAAAGACTCTTGACTTTAGATGATCATTCTGTTTTTTAATGATAAAGGCATGAGATATTAAAAAGATTAAAAATGAGGTACTGCTCAACACTACTTTGAATGGGCTATTAAGGGAGAAACACTCAGCCATATAGCGTGCTGCAGCCCGCCTGGAACGAAGCAGCTCTAATATATTATATAATAAATTAGCGCTGTGCCCATCAGCCTGCAGCGCGTTCTTTCCTAAAGTCACCTCCGTGGTTTCTCCCCAATGCCACTTGTTCTTGCAACCGAAGACTATGTCTGCTACTAGCACCAGCCCAGGAAGTGGTAAGAACACGAGCCCCATCATAACATCCAATGATACAACCTACTTCTTGAGAAAACACCAGACTCTAAATTTTAATTTTGAGCTCGTTTTGGTAACACTTGAAAGGCAAAGTAGTGTAGCAGTTAATAATTGGAGCTTTGGAGTCAGGCAGACTTGGAACTAAATCCAAGCCCTGTTACTCACTTGCTACTGCTCATGTGATTTGGGGCACGTTTCCTAACACCTTCTCCTTCCTTATTTGTGAAATAAGGATAATAATAGTGTCTACCTCACGGGGCTGTCATGAGACTCAAGTGAGAAAACATATGTAAATTGCTGAGTGTGGTGCCAGGTTCATCAGAAAGTCTTAATAAGTGTTAACAAAAAATAACCACCACCTTGAGTTTTAAATCCAAGTTTAGGGAGGGAGGGAGGAATATTTTTCTTCACCAAAGGATTCACATAAGGGCTACTTTTAGAGAAAATATATATATTTAAGGGTTTGTTTCCAGCTTCATCTTAGGAGCAGTGAAATTTATAGGGCCATAGGATAAAACATTTTTAAGTTCCTGAAACTGGAAGAGAAGCGTAGTTTGAATGACAATACTTCTACATGTAGAAAACATAGGAACCCAAGTTGCCAACTGTTGAGTACACAGGTGTAAAAGAATGACAATTTTTATATAACAACAGGACGATGCATTTATTTTCCTGAATGTATTTCAGAATACATCAAATGTAAGAGATTCTTGACGGGAGGTGACCACTTTTTTGTTTCCCACGATAGACACATGAGATGTGCAATGATAAAAGCGAGGTAGTGGTCACTTCGAATGGGCTGTTGATAAAGGAGAAATTCTTCTTTGGGCTAATAGATTCATTTGAGAGCGAAGAGGCCAACCATGTTTTCCAGGGACAGCTGGTTGTTACAGACACTGTAACTGCTCTGTGTGTTTCTTATCATCTCCAGGTCACAAGGACAGCCCCAGAGACTCTCACTCATGAAGAACCCTGCGTTTGGCGCTTGAAGGGGTCACGGGTAAGTGAAAACATGAAAATGAAAGGGGCTATGGCTATTAGGAGGAACAGGGAAAAGAGAGGCAGAACTGGGA